AGGGGCAGGGGGGACCTCACCTCCACACACCCAGCATGCTCAGCTGTTATTCCATCCGAGAACCTGTGCAGAGATGGGTGCCACCCACCGGGGAACGGTCAGCTCCCAAGCTCTCCCAAGTGTGAGTCTTTTGGGGATGTCTAGATGCTACAAACCACAACACAGGCACTATCCACGTCAGTAGATGGTTTGATAATGTAAACTAATTTTGAGACTGAATCGTTCTTCTTTCAGGTAATATGTGTATGTGTATACAGACAGCTAGATAAGACGGATGGATGGATTTCAAGACAAAGCCATTCTGAGACCTGTTGCTGGAAATGCTTCGTTCCCATTTTTGTTATTTGGTATTGGGACTTGCGTTCAGGACCGCTGCTTCCTCCTTGTTCATTAGTGGATTCTTTTTTTTTTTTTTTTGGTATTTTTAGAAGGGTCTACAGGGTGTTCAGAGTCTCACTACTAGATGGAATTTGTAGTGATCCACCTGTTTTACAGCCTCCCAAGAGCTGGGATTACAGGTGGGCTGTGGCGCCACCACGCCCAGACTCAATGGCCATCTCAGCATGCCTTGGGGTTGGGGCCAGCCCGGCAGGCCTGGGGATTGAACCCCTGGCCCCTGTGCCTGCTGGCAGCCACTTTAATCTGCTGAGCTATTTGGCTGGCCCTCCATTAGTGAGTTTTAACTGCTATTTTTTTTTTTTTTCTTTTGCAAAAGTAGGGCCAAATCCACAAGGCCCAGAAGAGCCATAGCTTTTAGCACCCTGACATTTACTATGGGTCATACGAAGGATTTTTAAAATAAAACAATACTAGTGCACGCCTGTAACCTCAGCTCTTTGGGAGGCTGAGGCAGGAGGACTGTAAGTTCAAGCCCAGCCATGGCAACTCAGGGACTGAGACCCTGTCTCAAAACAAAATTTTTAAAAAGGGCTAGAGATGAAGTTCAGTACAAGGGCATAGGGTTCAATTCTCTACAAACAAACAGATAAAAGGGTAGATTGCTTCCAAGACAGAGGTGACCAAAAAACTTAAATAAGCTGGCTTTTGCCTCCACTCTTTCAATCTACTCTAAGGAAAAAGTTAAGCATGATACATATATACGGCATATCCATTTTCCCAACTTTATTGTACATTAGTAAGAATGACACCTTTTTTCCTTATTCTTTTTCTTTACTTTTTTTTTTTTTTTTTTTTTT